ATCCACCAAACATGATATATATACAGTAAGAACCAGAAAACTCTGGAAAAGGAAGTCGACATTAGACTCATTTTGTGTCTTTTTTAAATAGTCCAATGAACATAAGACGCAGCATTTGTGCAGTGTAAACAGACCCATTTCACTTAATAACTTACTAGTATAGCTATTTGCTGTGTAACAACATCAAATGCACTTCAGTACTTTTCTAATTTCGTCTTCTTAAAAGTTTTACAGTTATCTGGTAATCACTGTATGCGTAATTAAATGTACGTATGTTAATATATTAATGAGAATTACAAATTGTGGAAATTAGACTTTATTCGGTGTAAGAATTATTTTTAAATGCATTTCAGTGGTAAATTTTTCAATGAATTTCTAATAAGATAAAACCACAGATGAAAATGAAAAATTGATGCGGGAATAAATCATACAAATGTCTCATAAAATAAAGATAAACATTGAACAACTTGGAGAACTAATTTATGGAACAGTTTAATATTTTGATTTTCCCATAAAATATGAATTTATTATTAATTATATATATTAATTAAAATTATAAATTATCACAGTTTTTCTCACTTGCGTTCTATTCTAGTAAAGGTCTGTAATTTTCACCTTGGGTTTTCAGCGAACGAAAATTTTCGTTAAAAAATCCGAAAATTTTGTTCGAGAAATATTTTTAGCTATAATGATTTATTTTTAATAAAACGATATATTAGTAAACCTATTTCAAGTTTGTTATTGAGGTCTTTATATTATTATGTTTTTCGGGAAATAAAATTTCGCGGAAAAAAATGCTGCGAAATTTTCGCAGTTGTTTTTTTTGATAAGTTTTTACCTTTTTTCGCGAAATTTTCTCATTTCTATTTTGAGCAAAAATTTCGGAATTTTTCTCGAGCGAACGAAATGCGAAAAAACCCTTGGTTCATTAAAGTGTTCCAGTGTATTTTAAATAAGTTAATGGAGATCAACGTTGAATTAGTTAAAGTAAAGGAATTGAGTCTTTGCCACACACTCTGTTATTTCTGATCCCTATATCTTGCAACCCAATGTCATAGACCTTAAATATTTTAAACTAAGAATTTAAGAAAGAATATTTAAGGTTTACATCATCAGGGTTTCAAAGATTTAGGGATTGGCAAATTTAGGTTTGAGGCAAAGAATTAATTCCTTTGGATAGGTCTACTGTATGTTATCCATCTCTTCTGAAATCTCCCCGCATTCAGGAAAACACTATACCCCCACTGCCACTTTGCATGATAAAGCTGTATCTATATATCAATTAAGTAGGTCGACTTTTATAGGGAAAGATTAGTTTTCAGGCATAGCTGGGTTTCCAAAAGGGTTTCCAATCGGAAACGTTTTGTGTAGGAAACGTTCAGTAAGGAAACGTTTCGTAAGGAAACGTTTTGTTAGGAAAAGTTTTGTAAGGAAGCGTTTTGTAAGGAAAAGTTTTTTTAGGACACGTTTTGTAAGGAAACGTTTGTAAGGAAACGTTTTGTAAGGAAAAGTTTTAAAAGAAAACGTTCAGTAAGAATACGTTCAGTAAGGCTACGTTCAGTAAGGAAACGTTCTGTAAAGAAAAGTTTTGTAAGTGCATTGGAAATCCGTTGAATAAAAAACTCCCCTCCTCCCCACTGTGCATGATAAAGCTGTATATATTATAAAGATTTTAGATTGGGTTTAAGGTTATTAGAATTTATGAGGCGTCTGCCTACATAAACTTCCGGGTTAGGTTAAATTTATGTAAAACTGCGGCATAAGTATATATATAAATAAATAATATACTTCAGAGACAAAACTCGAAAGAATTCAGGGGTAAATTTTCCTTGAAAAGTACACCCCTCCCCCTCTTCTTAACTGTGGAAGTTGTTTTGAGGGTATAATCGTTGAATTTGAAAATTTTCATTTTCCCCAAAAAAAGACTTTTGTAACAAGAATGTTGTAATTTTAAATTGTAAAGGACCAGGGCTACAAAAAGTAAAATTATATGTTAGATTAAGGTAAACAAACAGAGCAGTTATAAGGAGTGCCACACTTCAAAGTTGATCCGGTCTAAAAAAAATGTATGCATAGTTTTGTATCAAAAAAGTGCCGAAAGTAGCCGGGTGGGGGGGGGCTTAAGTTTATATATTTAAAAATTTAAAGTATTTAATGTTAAAAGATCATTTAACACAACCAAAAAATTCCATATATGATCTTAACTTTTTTATCGATCTTAATAAGCCCTTATTCAATTGTTTAATGATAAACCCGTTTAGAAAAGAATAATAATCATGAAGGCACTCTTTTTTAAGTCCCAATTTTAATCCACTTGTTATTTTAATAGATAAGATTTCTTTGTATTGGATTATTACCTATACAGCAGTTCAAATTTATGTCCTTTTTATAACATATTTTCGTCTATAATTCCTTTTTATGTTAACCCTATCCCTGCTGGGGTACTTGAAAACCAGGATATGCTGGGGGGAGGTCAAATTGACCCCCCCCCCCTCTAAATCCCAAATTTGCAATTTTTTTTCCGCAAAACTTGTGCAATCCGTTTCCTTATGTCACAGGCTTTCCAAAAAGCTAAATCTTATCAAAATCTGACAAGCGAAAGTGGGTCAAAACAAAGATTTAGTTTGTTACAGGCAAAAACAGTCATTCAGGCAGTGTGCCTAAGGACTCAGGCAGTTAGTATTAAAGCCCGGTTTTATGCCTAAAGGGAGGGCTTTGGGTATGTAAGAAAATTAAACAGCCTGAGACCAATACTTTTTGAGTTATGTAAAAAAAACTACAGGGGGGGTCAAATTGACCCCCCCCCACAGCAGGAATAGGGTTAATAAATATAAGGAAAATTATTAACAGGCTAAACTGAATTATTATTTTAAAGATTTATTCACACACAAAGATATACTCATATGTAAATACATATACAAATGGTTTAGTTTAAATTTGTTTAAATATTTTGAATATATAGTTTTACAAAGGAAAAAAGAAAAATATGCAAAATTATGCACAAATAGGCGACATTGATCATTACTCATTACATAACATATTTATCATTTCAGTTATTACGTAATCATCGAATCCTTCAACATATAAATTATTTGTTCTTTTATTTAAAAGTTCTTGTAAAACCGGAACTTTCCATGCATGGTACAATGGAACATCAAAATATCTCATTTGTTTCCTAACTAACATTTTACTATGATCAGAAAGATTTAAAAAACAATCATTTGCAATGGAAAATAAATTTCTGCCAAGAACTGTGTTAGGGTCATTTTTGCATAAATTAGAGAGACATCTAATGAAAAGCTTATAACTTGCTTCAATAGTCTCATAGAAAGACACACATCTATAACTGGCTAACATAGTTTTTACATATAAACATTGTAGAGTATGCTGAGAGTACAGATTTTCATAGATTTCTTGATTTCTATGAATATATCACCTCCTCCATTGAGCAATTTTTGAGTAAATATATCTTGAAGTATTTGACTTTTAGCTCTTTTTTATCTTCTTTTCGCTGTAAAATAAACAGTTCTCCATCAGGGGTCCATATAATTCCCAAAATAGCTGATTTTCTCGATCCCCAAATTTTTTTTGCCCCCAACTTAAAAAAATGCCCCCAATTAAAAAAACATTTTCAAATTCCACTAACACATTTTCCCCCAATTGCCCCCAAAATCCCAAATTTAAAAAAAAGTCCCCAATTTAAAAAAACCTTTTCAAATTCCACTAACACATTTGCCCCTTAAAATTTTAAAATTGCCCCCAAAGTTTTTATACTTGCCCACAATTTTACAAAATATATAAATAAAGTATACTTTGATTAACTCTAATATTCATAAAATTGCCACCAGAAATTATAAAGTTGCCCCCATTAGCAAATGCTCCCAACACTAAATGCCCCTAACATAAAAAATGCCCCTTTTCCACTCGCATTTGCCCCTAAAAAATTTAATGTAAATATTTTTTTGAATTATCATTTTTTAAAAAATTGCCCCCATTTCTTACAAATTTGTCAATCCCAAATGGGATTGAAAAATGAATTATATGGACCCCTATTCTCCATCTCCCAGCTGCTTGCCAAACCACAAGCCAGAACTTACTCCCAACCTGATATGCTTTTACATATTCATTCTAACCTAAGAAAATCCCTTTCGATTTTTCATTTGCCACTTCTTCTGATTTTGGTAGACACAACTTTGCTGCATTATCTATAGCTTCACATACTCCAGTAGCATATTCATTAATAAGCTGGCATCATGATTCTGACAATGAAAAGAAGACTAAATTCCTGTGGTGAGTCTAGGATATTAATTTTTGTACCTAGGTTATATCTATGATTCACTCCCTGCTCTAAAGATGCTTTACCCCAGCTAGGTTTTGGTGTACTGGTTAGCTTCTCTACTTCCAAATTAAGCTCTGATCCATATCAAACTTACAGAATATAGGAAGATGACCAGACATATTATCTAGATGAATTATCACACCAGCTTTGGTAACTGGTCCTTAAAATCTTTCATTGCTGAGGAAATGATCAATTGTAGAAGTGTGAGTTATATTGTTTACTCCATTTCTTACTTCTTCAATTCTATCGTTATCTTGCAGATTCCAGAAAATATTTAAGCCTTTCTCCTCTGCAAATGTTCTAATACTTTGCACAAATTGTGTAGGTCTAGTAAGAATCACAATTTATGTCACCGACATAAAACATTTTTACATCATGTTTATTTTTAAAAACCAAATATCTAAATAGCATACAAATCGGCATATTTAAATAATGAAATAATAAGCATAGATATCCTTGACAACATGAGAGAAGACAGGATAAATGTAATAATGTAATGTAAAAAATGACAAAAACAATGACTTTTAAACAACTTAAAAATTTCTGTAGAATTCTAAATCTGTAAATTTGGAAATGGCAGATATGGAATGTTTTTTATTATTTCTCAGGGACACCCTGTTTACTAGTTACATGAAATTTTATTTAGTTGATTGTACTTTAGGTTGTACTGCATTGTGTACTGCTAACTGTACTGTGTATAGGATCTGTGGACCCAAAAGAGGAAGAGCAGGTACATGTTGTGCAGATTGCACATATTTTACATGTTGGACCGCTTTATTTTATATATATTGTACATGTTGTACATATGTTGCAAATGCTGGATTTATTGTACATATTGTACATCTTGCACATTTTGTACATGTTGTACATATTGTACATGTTGTTCATATTATACATATTTTACATATTGTACATGTTGTACTACATGTTGTACATATTGTACATATTTTACATATTGTACATGTTGTATATATTATTCATATTGTACATATTGTACATGATGTACTACAATTTGTACATATTATACATATTGTACATATTGTACATGTTGTACTACAATACATATTATAAATATTGTACCTATTGTACATGTTGTACTACAAGTTGTACATATTATAAATATTGTACCTATTGTACAACTTGTAGTACAACATGTACATATTATAAATATTGTACCTATTGTACATGTTGTACTACAAGTTGTACATATTATAAATATTGTAAATATTGTACATGTTGTGCTACAAGTTGTACATATTATACATATTGTACATATTGTACATGTTGTACTACAAGTTGTACATATTATAAATATTGTAAATATTGTACATGTTGTAACTTTTAAAGGTTCCTTTAAATATCTTTAAATGAAAGAGAGCCCCCTGTACTTTCTATTTCCTTTTTCTAGAATACGAAATTCAAGAAAATTCAAAACTATGACAAGAGAAATTGCAGAATTTTAATCCTTGAGTTGAATTCTAATGTTGAAGTATAAATAAAGAATAGTGTTTATACAAACTGCTTTAGAAGATTAAATCCACTGTTCTCGTATTTTAACATTTTTTAATGACATAAAAATTAAGAAAAATAAATTTTCTAAATATTTTATTTTTTACTCCGTATAATTAGTTTTTAAAAGTGTCTAAGGACATCTCACACCTGTATGCCGAGTCCATTAACGCCTGATCCAATCAGGGTTCAGTTATGTGTTTGTTGTCTGTTCTGAACCAATAGAAATAGTATGGCGGTAACATCTATCTCATTATCCAATCAGAGAAATGAATCCTTCAATCGGCGCTATCAGTAAATGGAAATATTTACTTCTGCTGAAACTATAGTGATCAATCTAGCAAGAATTATTATTAATATGTAAAGATTAATGTCAATATTCCTATAACGATTTTAAGAAATTCTTAAATAATAAGTATATTGTGGCCGAATTCTGATTGATGTTTGGGATTGCCGCTCTATGATTGATATTAATTTTACTTTTGATATTTACAACACATTTTTTTTCCAGGCTCGATCTTTAGACGATGAATCATTACAATCTCAAGTATTCTCTGCTGCTAGAAATCTAGGATATGGATTCAGGTTTATAATTTTGGCTTTTGGCTTTTAAACATCCTAACTGTGATTTTTTTTAAACGACCTCATGCGGTTACTTTATAATAGAAAACAAAAAATTTGGAAACCCGAGTATGCCGAGTCCATTAGCGCCTGATCCAAACAGATTTCAGTCATGTGTTTGGTGTTTACTCTGAACCAAATAGATACTAGTACAATAGATGGCAACTTAGAATTTGTACACTCTCAGTACAGCTGAATTCTGACGTCACAAGTGTTAATTCAGTTTTTGTATACAAAAAAAATATTAATAATAGTGATGATTTTAGAATAAAGTGCTTATTTTATCTTGGAACTTTTTGTGTTCTTTATTTTCTGTTTTTACATTTTTTTATTTAGTCTTAGAAAACATGTCAACTAATGTCAGAACGTTTCTTTTTTCTTGTTATATTTGACAGTGACACTGGTGACGTCGTGTATAATTGGTCCACTTCTCTATTGCCATCTATTATACTTGATAATCTATTTGCTCTGAACCAATAGAAATTGCAACTCGGTAACATCTATTTTCTATCTATCTCATCAACAGATTAGAGATAAATCCTTATATCGGCGCTATATTACATCTACTGAAACGGAACGAAAACTAAAAAATCAGCAAAACTTAAAAATTTCATTTTTAAGTCTAGTAATTGTATAATTCACACTGTATTTTTACAATTTTTACATCCTGAATTCCTAGATCGCAAAATCTCGGAAATGATAAATGCAGGACAATTTTTATTTCTGTTCTATTCTATTATATTCCATTATATTATGTTCTATGCTATTATATTCAAGTATATTCTATTCTATTCTATTCTATTCTATTCCATTCTATTCCATTCTATTATGTGCTATGCTATTATATTCAAGTCTATTCTATTCTATTCTATTCTATTCTCTTCTCTTCTATTTAATTATTCTAGTCTATTACATTCTGTTATGCTCTATGTTAATTTATTCTATTAATAAAATATATTATAATGATGATAATGATAAAAATTATTATTACGAAAAATAATTAGATAAGTAATATAATGTTTATGTTTAGACCACCAAGGGAAACAAGCCATGCAAATCAGGGCAACATTAGGCGACCAAATGTAAAGCTTAACAAAAAGGTAAAATCTATTTTTTAATGAAGAATGCAGTTGCTGACTATAAACTATTAGTAGTACTTTATGCAAATTATATTTTTGCAGCCTAATGAACATGGTTCTACAAAATTCATAAAGTTAAAACATCAAAGGTCTCACGCTCCTCTGACCCTTTAGTAAAAGTAAATTCAACCTAAAGTCTGACCGCGTCAACCTTGTTGCACTGGCTAGTCCTATTGAGTGTCTGCTTAATTTACCCAATGTCCGGGCGATACTGTACAAACTGGGACCGTAAAGGTTGACCCGGCTCGGAAATTCAAATGTAATACGGCTGCCCGTGGTCTGCGATATGAGATGAAAAATTAATTACAAAGGAGCTTTAAGTACTTTCATGTTCATTGATACTTACATCCTCGATAACACGTCAAAGGGTTGAAGGAAAAGGTTGTAAATCTGACCTGGTCTCTTAATATGAAGGGTCACTTGAAATTACGCTTATAGTCCCTTTAAATTTACAATGATAGTACTTTTAATATATTACTTTTTTAGGGGCGTAAGAGATACGTAGGAAATATTCCTTACGGAAGGTAGTACATATTTTATTTATTAAAAAAGGTTTTATAAATGTTTTATAGATTTAAATATTTTCAAAAATGGTTCCATATCTTTCTTTTAATGTACTAACATCAGTGTCTTTGTCAATATTTACAAGTTTTAAAATACATTATAAAAACTGTTAAAAAGAAACTTTCCACAATCTTTAATTTTCTAATCCCTATCCTTGCAGCCTAATTGCGTGAACTTTTGGCATTTCAATGATGTCAGGGTGCAAAGATTAAAAGATTAGAAAATTAGAGTTTGCGACAAGTAATCAGTTCATTTCAATTTCTATCTTTAGATCACCCAGTACTTATTACAATCGAGAGACACACACTCTGTCACATAGTTTACCCCTTCGAACCTCAGGGATATCATTAATCAATTAATCAATTCATCAATTAATCAATTAATCATTAAATAATTAAACAATTTATCAACTAACTAACTAATAAATTAATAAATTAATCAATTAATCAAATATTCAATGAATCAATTAATCAATTAATCAATTAACCAATTATTCAATTAATCAATTAATCAATTAATTAACTAATCAATCAATAAATTAATCAATTAATTAATTGGTAAATTCATCCATTTATTAATTAATCGATTAATCTATTAACCAATTAAACAATTTATAAATAAATCAATTAATTAATTATTCATTTAATCAATTAAACATTTAATCAATTAATCAACAAATCAATTAATCAATTAATCAATGAATCAATTAATCAATTAATCAACAAATCAATTAATCAATTAATCAATGAATCAAATAATCAATTAGTCAATAAATCAATTAATGAATTAATCAATTTATCAATTAATAAATTAATCAACTAAACCATTAATCAATTTATAAATAAATCAATTAATCAATTATTCATTTAATCAATTAAACATTTAATCAATTAAACATTTAATCAATTAATCAATTAATCAATTAATCAATTAATCAATTAATTTCTTAATCAATTAATCAATGAATCAAATAATCAGTTAGTCAATAAATCAATTTATCAATTAAACTATTAATCAATTAATCAATTAATCAATGAATCAAATAATCAATTTTTCAATTAATCAATTAATCAATTAATCTATTAATCAATTAATCTTTTAATCAATTAATCTATCAATCAAACAATCAATTGATCAATTAATCAATTGGTACATTTTTAAATATCATTTTTAAATAGTCCATGAATATATAGAAAGCCGAAAAAGGTGCAATTTTAAATATCTTTTTTTTGCTCTAAAACATAAACATTCTTTTAAAAAATAGTTAAAAATAAATGATTTAATGTTTTAATAACTGAAGCTTTTCCGTTCTCCTTCTATTCTCCTTCTTCTCCTGTTTCTTATAATCCTTCTCCTCCTTACTCCCCTCCTTCATACCATACTCCTCCTTCTCCTACTCATTCTCCTCCTCATCCGCATTCTCATCCTCATTTAAGCGATCATGAGGATGAAAAAAAGAAAGTTCGTGTTTCCCAGCTTCAAAGAAGGTAATCATTTTTTTTTATTTTAAAGAAAAAAATAACTGAATAAACTGTCATATGTGAACAAGAATTGAGAGATTGAAGTATGCAGCAGCATAATTGGGTTCCCTCCGCTGGAGTGGTGGCCACCGGAGGGAACACTTTTTTCAATGCTAATTACTCTGAGTGTTAATCAACATCCCTCTGGTGGAGTAATTAGTGTACTGAATGTTAATTTCCATTCCTCCGACTGAGTAATTAGTGTTCTGAGTGTTATTACCATTCCTCCGTCGGAGTACTTAGTGTTCTGAGTGTTATTACCATCCCTTCGTCGGAGTAATTAGTGCCCTGAGTGTAAAATACCAACCCTCTGGTGGAGTAATTAGTGTCCTGAGTGTTAATTACTATCCACCGATGCAGTAATCAGTGTGCTGAGTGTAAACAACAATCCCTTCGATGGAGATAAAAGCATTCAATAAAAAATGTGTATTCCCTCTGTTGGATATAATTTCCCTCCGATGAACCGAATATGCATTTGTTGCAAACTTCAATCACTCACCAGAATTCTGTCTAATACTTTAAATAAATCGCAATTAAAAAGTCAAAATAATGAACAAAAAGACCCTGACATGGAAAGTACAAAAAAATAAATAAAATGTATATTTACATGATACCCTGATCTCTCTCTAATCTTTTTATTTCTTGCATGGTTGGAAAAGCTTTAAATGCAAAACTGTCAACATTTATTCTTGGATCATGATGCAAATATTTTCGGAAGATTTACTATAAATACATATACAGGGGTAGCCACAAAGATGAGACGACTGTACGGAATTAATTTAGTTTTTATTCTAATATTTATGGTTTCATTAAATTGTACGCTTATTTTTTCTGTGCAAAAACAGATTTTTTACTTTTCTCATACTTTTTGGGTAACCCTGTATAATATATTTCATATGTTTATATATATATATATATATATATATATAAAGCTATTATATCTTCCAGTTTGAGGGTGAGATTTATGCAACTATATTGTTGTGTCAAGATTTAGGCACAGTATTTATCATACCGGGAGGTTTAGAAAACATTTATAATTATTTGATTTAAAAACATTATTCATGTACTTTGTTTTTAAGTACGAATTTCGTACTTTAATAGTTAAATAGTTAAATGGGCTATCAAAGCGGACTCGCGGAAGGAGAAAGGAGTAAAAAGATGAACATTTGAAATTATAAACAATGCCAAGTACCAATTTATTTAATAAAAATTATGGAAAACAAATTATAAAAATTGTAAAAAGATTGGTCAATCAAATTATCTTTTGTTTAACAACTTCAAGATTCTGTTAATGGAGTTTTCCGTTAATTTTCTAAAACAATCATTTAAATATATAACTTTGCCTCCTTTCTTCAGCTTTTCACCACGCATCATTATCCAGACGGAATATTTTAAAACATTTTACCGCCTTTTTACAAACATTACTGACCTGTGATTCCCCAAACAGAGGGATGTCCCTTGAGACAATTAAACGAAATAACCTCCTGTTCTGCGAAGTTTTCGTGAAAAAATCGCGAATTTTCATCTCAAAACGCGATAAAATTGTTTACAACTAATTTTTCGGAAAATTTAAGATTTTACTTAACGGTCCCCTCGACCAATTTATCCTACAAAACACCCCTCGCTGCGCTCTGGATGTTTTGAAGGTAAAATTGGTCTTGGGAATCCTTGGTAAAGTAAAATTTCTTTAACTTCCCTGTAAAGTAGTTGTAAATAATAAAAAATTCCGCTCTGCGAAGTTTGCAAAAAAAAATCGCGAACTTTCATTTAAAAAAATGATAAAATACTTTTAAGAAAATTTAATTTTTCATTGTCCAAAGAAGTTGAGTTTTTGCCACAAACTTATATTTTCTAATCCCTATATATTTGCAAGCTGATTATGAAAATCTTTAATATTTCAACCTTAGATTATTTGATTTATAACAGTTTATAGTTTGAAATATCTAAGGTCTACGACATTGGGTTGCATTTGCAAAGATATAGAAATTAGAAAATCAGAGTTTGTGGAAAAGACAAAATTTCTTTAACTTCCCTGTAAAGTAGTTGTAAATAATAAAAAATTCCGCTCTGCGAAGTTTGCAAAAAAAATCGCGAACTTTCATTTAAAAACATGATAAAATACTTTTAAGAAAATTTAATTTTTCCTTGTCCAAAGGATATGAGTTTTTGCCACAAACTTATATTTTCTAATCCCTATATCTTTGCAAGCTGATTATGAAAATCTTAAATATTTCAATCTTAGATTATTTGATTTATAACAGTTCATAGTTTGAAATATCTAAGGTCCACGACACTGGGTTGCAAAGATATAGAAATAAGAAAATCAGAGTTTGTGGAAAAGACTCAATTCCTTAGTCTGCAAACATATCTTTCGTTATACTTACAGTGGATGTTTTAAAGGTTAATTTGTACAAATAATTTCCTTGTAAACTTTTGTTTAGTATAGTTTTACACTGTTTTTTCAAATTTGAAAATTTTCTAAAAATATTTATCAAAACCACAAAAAAAGGGTTTCACCAGGATATTATTTTGATTTTATCCACAAAAACATCAAACATATTATGCAAGGGCATTAAGAACACTTCATTTCATTCATGTCTCTTTTTTTTAAAAATTGTTAACACTAATAAAATTATGAAAGCAAACATTTTTATTACTCAAGTTACAAAAAGACGACTTTAAAAACACTCGATTATAATATATACATTTTTTTAACGTTTATTATCTTTCCAGATCTTAATTTTTAACAATAAGTATATAATAAAATATATGATGGTCAACGCAATTGAACAGGGTTCTGTAACGTCTACGAAACACCCTGTCACAGATCTTGTTCTCCAATTTTCCTCCTTTTATAATCGGTTCCTAGAATTATATTTGGACATCCTGTTCATATACTCTTCATTTCTTTTTTAGTTTTGGACACAAAGCTTGTCTTGGGTTTCTATTTCTGTTACAATATTACATACTACAGGGTGTCCCAATAAACATGGGAATTGAGAGACGACTTGAATATCATCTTTGATTTCCGACCATTGAAAAAAATGATACAAATTGCATCAAAAAAATAAAACGTCTACATCGCTTTTTAAAATGTGGTCTACCTTTTTTATATATTTAAAATTGACGGAGATATTAAACATTTGAACAGTTTTGATAATTTTTAATTAACTAGAATCTGGACAAATTTCGTAATATCTCCGTCCACTTTGAAGGTGAAAAAAATGGTAGACCACATTTTGGAAATCTCGAGGTTAGTAGTTTTCGGTGTTAAATGTTTTAACCGTGATAATACAAAATTGTATTTAAGAAATAATTCCGCTTGGAACAAAAACGATATAGAAGTCGTCATTTAATTTCCATGATTATTGGGACACCCTGTATATAATATATAAGATATAAATATACTCTAGACCACTGCCGGAAATTCATCATGGACCTTCACCTCCACCCCCTGCAACACGTCCTCATGGTCGTCATCATGTACCCCATGTTCACCATGTACTACATGTACACCATGAACCCCATGTACCCAGCCATCCTCCTGTACAAATGTTTGAAGCGGAAAATGCTATTTTAGCTCCAAGGAAATCATCATACAGAAAAGTTTTAACAAAGGAATTGAGTTTTCTGATTTTTTAATACCTCTATCTTTGCAACCCAATGTTGTAGACCTTAGATATTTCAAACTATAAACTTTGTTAGATCAAATTTTATAAGTTTGTAATATCAATCGTTTACACCGCCAGGTTGCAATGATAAAGGGAATGGAATATTCAAGTTTGTGGCAAAGAATCAACTACTTTAGCAATCCTGCTTATATTAATTTTTATTTTTAATGTCTTTTCTAACCTTTACATGAAGAAAAAAAAATGTTAATAATTAAGATTTCATCTGAGTTTCTTTGAAACCATTCATTTATAGAATGCCAAAACTGCCAAAAAAAGGTCAAAAAAGGGACGAAAATTGTCTAATTCCCTTGTTAACCTTAAACAGGCTGGACACTTATTTTCCTGTGACCCTCCATAGATAGAGTGGAGTGTTCGAGTCACACCAGTACCTTTAAAACTTTGCCTAAACAAGAATGCAAGTGATATCCATGTTTTTGTTTCTGAAAACTGTTATTGCTGGTTTCTCTGCAAAAGTTAATTTTACATTTCCTGCTTTAAAAATTAATGTATAATTTATCAGAATTAAACACTTTTTTAAATAGAAAAAAATCATTATCTTCACTTCATTTGTTTGTGCCTATACACAACATCAGTTTTTACCGAGTCCGAATTTTATGAATTTGAGCCGCGTCTCAAATCTGCCATAAACCGGTTTCAATTGAGCGCCGGCTTAAAACTTGAAACAACGAATGCAATTTTAAGTGGAACCAACCTTATTTGAGCCGCGTCTCAAATTAAAGCCGCGGCTAAAATTCTTTAAATTCTACCTCCGATAAGTTATGCTTTTATGAGGCACAATCAATGAAAATTGATTAAAGTTTGATATGTCTATCATATGATTAAATTAATGAAAATATATGAATGTTTTATCTCCAGTTTTCCATCACTTAAACCATTTGTTCATCATATTGATGTGGCGCCGGTACATCAAACTCCTCATGAAGCTTCACATCAACTTCAACATCAACCTCCTCATGAGCACCATCAACCCCCTCATGAGCACCATCAACCTCCTTATGAGCTCATTCCTCAACCAAACCATGAACCTCAGCATCAAGCCCCTCATGAGCACCATCAACGTCCTCATGAGCACATTCCTCAACAAAACCATGAACCTCAGCATCAAGCCCCTCATGAAAACCTTCCTAATCCACCTCTTAAAGAAGCTGTTCAATCACCTCACAAAGCGATTTCCGAGCACTTTCCTCGGTCTCATCCCCCTCATGAAGACACTTCCCATTCCCCTCATGCGAACGTTCCTCAACCCCCTCATCTCCAAGACACGCCTCATGAAGATATATCGCCTATGGCTGCTGAGGTATTTGTTTTTAACGTTAACTTATTGATAAAAAATTATCTTTAAAAGAATTGAGTCTTTGTAAAAAACTCTGATTTTCTAATCCCTTTCTTTGCAATCCCATGTTTCGTAGACCTTAGATATTTCAAACTATTAATTCTGTTAGATCAATCTTAGTTTAAAGTATCAAAGGTTTACACCATCAGGTTACAAAGATTTAGGAATTAGAAAATCAGAGTTTGTGGCAAAGACTCAATTCCTTTCTATCCTTTCTCTAGGTTGGTGGAACCCCCAGAGATGTCAACGCCGTGAATATTCCTGCTGCACCTGTGTTCCCGGTTAATGACGTAGAATCCTCGTTCATCACAACAGGAACCTTTTTTAACTAGATTAAAAAGATTAAAGGGATTAAAGAGATTGAAGGGATTAAAGGGATTAAAGGGATTAAAGAGATTAAAGAGATTAAGGGGATTAAAGAAATTAAAGGGATTAAAGAGATTAAAGGGATTAAAGAGATTAAAGAGATTAAAGAGATTAAAGGGATTAAAGAAATTAAAAGGATTAAAGAGATTAAAAGGATTAAAGAGATTAAAGGGATTAAAGGGAATGTTGACATAATTACAATTGAAGAGTGGAATGTCTGATTCACTATGGTACCCTTTAAACCTCTGTCTAATTAACAATGACAACTTGAAAACTTAAAAAGACTCATTCGAACCATTTCGCTCATTGTCTCTGTTATTTATAATGCGCCAATTACTGGTAAAGACAATTCCAACTATTAAAATAATCAATTTTCCAAGAGAGGAAGATTCTTGAATCAGACAGAAGTTCACAGGGTATCGGGGTGAATCTAACATGTCACTTTATAAATGGCGGGTGACTGGAAACTACGTGATTCTCTTTAGTAAATTCCAAACAATTGTACAATTTTTATTGCGCAACAGTATTCAAATATCAAATATCTTACATAGTTTTTAACTTTTCATAAATTATCAAACATTAATTGAAAAAAATTCTTTTAAAAGTGCCCCATACATCTGAGTACTTGTTGTTGTTATAACGCAATAGTTTTACAAGTAGCTTGAACATCAATTACTTATTAAGTTTAATGAGTCTGTAAACAATGTTTTTCAGGTGCAATTTTCATTTGACCAGCGGAAATCAACACTTTAGTCGAAAAGTCGCATTTTTTCAATTACTTGATCCTTACACTTCAATTGATTTAAAAATCTAATTGATTATTTACAACTACTTTACAGGGAAATTAAGGAAATAAGTTTACCAAGGGTTCCCAAGAGCAAATTTGTTTACAAACCACTGTTAATTTTAGTATAATTTAACATCCCTCTCTTGAGGGAATCATAGGTCGGTATTTTTGGTCAAAAGGCTGTAAATTATATTAGTATATATTAGATAAATGTTTTTAAAGGTTTCTCTGCAGATAAGAGTAAACACTCCTATGATCCAGCCGAGCATGCATATTTGATCTACTATGGAGATGTTCAATCCAGGTTCAAATCCCCTCATGTTGAGCATAAACCTGAGCATCATGTAGCTCTAGCAGATCAGGTTCATCATCTACCAACCCTTCCACCTCATCTCGTTAATCAACAGCTAAATTTTCAACCTCAGTGGGTCATTCTTCAGTTGTTCATACCTTTCCGATGGTTCAAAATTCTCCAGTGGTTCATACCTCTCCGGTGGTTCATAACTCTCCGGTGGTTCATAACTCTCCGGTGGTTCATAACTCTCCTGTGATTCATAACTCTCCGGTGGTTCATAACTCTCCTGTGATTCATAACTCTCCGGTGGTTCATAACTCTTTCATAACTCTCCGGAGGTTCATAACTCTCCTGTGATTCATAACTCTCCGGTGGTTCATAACTCTCCGGTGGTTCATAACTCTCCGGTGGTTCATAACTCTCCGGAGGTTCATAACTCTCCGGTGGTTCATAACTCTCCGGTGGTTCATAACTCTCCAGTGGTTCATAACTCTCCGGAGGTTCATAACTCTCCGGTGGTTCATAACTCTCCGGTGGTTCATAACTCTCCGGTGGTTCATTACTCTCCTGTGGTTCATAATTCTCAATTTTTCAACTCTGCAGAAGTGGATAACCTTCCTATCTACCATGCTACTGACATTGTTCATGATATCAATGCGGTTTCTATCGCTAATGATGTGCTTAACACTTCTCCAGTTCGTGACGCCTTTGTGGTTTCTGAATCACCAGCGGAATTTGAAGCCCTGATTAAATCTGAATCAACTAATGAATCTCCCCCCTTGGTTTCTCTGGGCATGTTTAAACCATCTGAAGAACCCCTGTTGTTTAAACCATCTGGAGAATTCTTGTCAAACCCTGGGAATCTAGCACCAACAATTATACATCTCAAGGGTAAACTAGTCAATACTATACAGACACAGGATACAGGATACACACAACAAACACAGGATACAGGACTAATCCTTCAGGATATAGGGGTACAGATAAAAGATACAGAAGTAAAACTACAAGATACAGAATTCAATGTGAGTCCCCAGAACGCAGAATACACCATAGATATCAGCAATCTAACCCCGTCTTCTGATCTTATCAAAAATCCTTCACAAGAACCAGACAAACAAAAAGATAAACTTAAAACCATTGAATTTGATTCCACCACCTTTGAACCAGAATCTGTTTCAGTAGAACCAGAATCTGTTTCAGTAGAACCAGAATTTGTGTCAACCGAGCCAGAATTCGAATCTAAGGAGTCAGAACTTGTATCTGCAGAGTCAGAATTTGTATCTTCAGAGCCAGAATTTGTATCTTCGGAGCCAGAATTTGTTTCTTCAGAGGCAGAATTTGTTCAGGAAGAAACATTTTCAGAAGAAGAGGATGAATTTGTACCAGAAAAGTCAGAATTTGTAACAGAGGTCCCTGAACTTAAATCAGAAATTTCTGAATTTATGACGGACAAACCAGAATCTGCACATGAAGAATCAGAAACTGAATCAGAAGTACAAGACTTAGAACCAACTGAACCAAACGTTGAATTAATTGAACCAGAATTGGAAGAACTTGAAATTGAAGTAATTGATCCTTTTGAGATCAATGAGGATGAATCTAATGAAGATCCTGACAGCACACTTGATCAAGAAGAAGATCAATCCTCTGATTCTCCCGAAATACCAGAAAACACTGAATCCGACCCCATACTATCTACAGGAATCCAGCAAAATAGGAACCCTAAAGAACAATCTGATATAGATTTTCAGTTTTCTTCTCCCTCAAATCTTCTGGATCAATTAGAGGAACTAAATCAAGGTTTACCCACCGGGAAACCAGGAATACCAATCAGTCTTCATCCAATCATCAACCCATCAGAGATAAAGTCTCTCCCTCCATCTGGAAATTCTCAAATTCATTTTAGAAATCCGGTAATTCAGCCTCTTGTAAATCCGCAACTTCTGTCCCAGCCTGGGGTGGGTTCTCAGTTTTTATCATTCGGCGGAGGGTCTGGATCGAATGCAAACAAAATACTTTTCCAGGAACCAATTCAATCCCTTCCTAATCCCTTTCTACAACCAGTCCAAAATCCCTTCAGCCGGCCTACATTCGGCCAGGGATTTAATCCATTTCTTCAAACCATGCAAACGCCTTTTGGTCAAGCAGCTCAGAGTCTATTTGGCCGCCCATCGCCCACCAGATTTGGCCAACCACAGCAGCTCCTGCAACCCATCAAGTTTCCTCTCCTTGAACCTCAACCTGTCTCCGAGGAGCTAAGAACCAGAGACCCAGAGCTAAATGTATTTAGTGCTCCTGTAATCCCTGCAGTCCCTGAGACAGAGCAACCTCTGAACTTTGCGTATGTTTTCAATAAACTCGGTGAAGGAGATAGATCATCAACATTTTCCTACAATTTAACCAACATTCAGGAACTTATTGAAATCTAATACAATACAAAAATAAGAAAAAATATTAAAAACTCTTTTTAATTTGAAATAACTTACACTAGAAAAGACAATTTGTTTCATTTAGCCCTACAATTTCGATTAGATGTAAATACTTTTGAAAAGCAGCCTGTAGCTTATTTGAGTTTGTTAAAGGCGGGACTATAGGAGTATTTGCAAGTGAGTCTCCATTTATTGAGAGGCGTGTCTGATTAACAACAACCCGGTTGTCTAGATTAAATTAGATATCCGAGTTTGAAAACTGATTAACAACAACCCGGTTGTCTAGATTAAATTAGATATCCGAGTTTGAAAACTGATTAACAACAACCCTTGTCTAGATTAAATATGCTAAGTGGTGAGTCACTTTAAACGAACAGTCCTTTATTTTTCTACTTTTACAGTTGATAAATCTTCTGCTCAGATTTAAGTGAGAAATAAATGATTTGAAATTATTATTTCTTTAATTCAATAATATACGAATGCGTCGAAAAATAATCGATGATTATAGGTCGTAATATCTGAAAGAGTTGTTTGGAATTAAATTGATTTTTATACAATCCAAGGAGATTATTGCAACTTTATGAATTAATATGGACACTACGTTCTTCAGTCTGGTTTTTTAACAATTTTTTCCTTAAATGCGCAACAGATAGAAATAAGATTAATAACAATCACCGTCGAATATTTTTCGACGTAGGCCTATAACCCCTTTCATTTTTTGCGAACACTCCCTTTAAGTGAGAAATAAATCATTTTTAAAAAATTGTTTCTTTAATTGAATGACCTTACATTTTCATACAGTTTTAAATATAAATGACATTTCAATTATTTGTCTTTTAGGGACATAACTTTAATTTCCAACCTGTTCCTTTTGTAAACGTTCCTGGCTTTTTGGGAACAGGGTTCCAGAACTTCTTATTAAATCAAAATTCTGGAGCATATAATGGAGCCGACATTGGAATACTTGATCTTGGAGTCAATACAGGAGCTCTCCATCAAGATCTAGGATCGTATAATGGAGCTAATTTTGGAGAACTGAATTCAGATCGGATACCTAATACTAAAGCTAACTTTGATTTGGATGTTGGAGCTAAATTTGAACTACTGGATCAATTTCCACTGAGAGAGGAAATCACCCAGAATGGATTCAATACAATCGAAGATCTGATCAAATTTGAATCCGAATCAAGTTCTGAAGAGGAGCTAAGAAGTGGAACTGGATTCGAAGATTCTCTGCTCCCTGAAGGATTAGCTCTTGAACCCGCCCTGATGGATGAAAATGAAGGATCGGAAGATCAGGGAGATCAGGATAGTTTATACGAGGAGGAGTATGAAAACTCTCTGCTAAGTGATGAAAACTTAAACCCTCTTCATCATCTAGTTCCAGAACTAGAACCAATCTCTGATTACAATACTAATGATTATTATGAAGATGAGATTAATCCAAATCCGGAGTTTTATGATTATCAGCCCATCCATACGGTTCCTTTCCCTACACTGAAGGATCAGGAATCACCCAACCTTTTAGAGAAAATTCCTGGAATTCTCGGGGAAAAATCTCTATTTCATCAAATTCCAGTTGAGAATATCTTGAATAGTCTTCCATCGTCGTTAGAACTAGATCCATCAAGCCTGGGGGTAGGAGACATTGCTCTGGGGTACACGGAAAACAGTGCTCCAGGATACCCGGAGACTAGAGGAGAACCATTAAACCTGAATACACAGGAACACGATAACAGACCTAACTCCATACAGACAAACGGAGAAGACATTAGTTCTGAACCCACCCTGGAGTTTGCTAGCCCAACATTGAGCTCTGGAATTGACATATTGGATTTTGATTCTACGGGACCCGAGGAGGGGGGACTTTTCACAGATTATCTCAAATTAAGTCAAACCAATCAATCAACCGAAATTAGTTTTGACACTTTTGACCAGGATCCAAGACATCCAAAACTAGTAGTTGAGGATACCCAGGATGTTGTTGAAGATTATACTGATTTAGTTGGACCAGTAGTTGTAGATTCCCCAGATTCAGTTGAACCAGTAGTTGTAGATACCCCAGATACAGTTGAACCAGTAGTTGTAGATATCCCAGATACAGTTGAACCAGTATTTCAGGATACCCTGGATACAGTTGAACCTACAATTCGTCCTGACACTATTCAAATCATCAACGATAATCAGATTCACCAGAAGCTGCATAATCTCAAGATTCAGGTTGAACAGGCTAAAGAGAGATTAAACCGACGTAAGGTCGTGAAGAGGGTTCGAGTAAGACCAGGAGAAGAAAACAAGGAAAGGAAACGAGGTGAACCTGTAAAAATCATGATAAACGAAATAAAAAAGAAACCAGTTCTAGTTAATGACGGTTCCGAAATATCTATCCCCATTATAATTGAGGGAAAGACAGTTAGAAAGCTAGAAAGACAGAAACTTAAGTCCAAAGCTTATCAAGATGTTCTTAACAACAAAGCTGAAGCAACAGAAGCAACTGTTCTTCCCGAAGAAGCTGTTGTAGTCTTTCCAGCCGAACTTGATACACCAAGTTCGGATGATGATGTTCAAACAGAAACTGCTGTTGTTGATATTTCCCCGAAAGGTACTGATGTTGATGAAGCTTCTGAAGGTGCTGATGTTGATGTAGCTTCTAAAGGTGCTGATGTTAGTGTAATTGCTGAAGAGACTGATGTTGATGTAGTTTCTGAAGGGACTGATGTTGATGTAGTTTCTGAAGGGACTGATGTTGATGTTGTTTCGAAAGGGACTGATGTCTATTTAGCTTCTGAAGGCCCTGATCATAATGTAGCTTCTGAAGGACCTGATGTTGATGTTGATGAATTACACAATAAGAACATTATAGATGTCGTCACTGATATTTCCAATCCTTCAAGGACAGTGCAGAATTTTAACGTGGTAAGTTAAATTTTTTCTTCAAAAGGGACACCCTTTGTTGTTCTTTGAACCTTTATCGGATCAGCTGTAGTCATAATTTTCTCCATTGTTTCTGTGACTGAAATTCGCTAGTCAGCGTTATAGAGAAACCCGAAATGAACACACTCAATTTTTTTATACAAAGCTTTAAAGAGTACCACTGTGAATCTGACATGTCATTCTTTTAAATTGAAACTACGCCTTCAGTCCCTTTAAATGTTTTCAATTAATTGTTCTGATTTGAATTTCCAAATTTCTGTGTTTGATATCTGCTTCCCTTTCATCATCATATTCTACAGAACTATTTCTGAATCAAGTTTTCGATTCAAAAAGTTTAAATTAAAACCCTGAATCATTCATTGTCGACCTGGTACATTGTTCTAGAATTATTTCTAAGTTTTCTAAACAAAGGTTTTTTTTCACTTTATCATTCATGATTACTTCAAAGTCAATTTCTTTACAGTAGTAGACATGGGCATCATTTTTGTGAACGACCAATATTTCTGAGAACTGACAAAATTCGTTGTGAACGATGGTGTCGATCAGAATTTGAAACGACATGGATCGTTCAGAGAAATAAAAAATGAATGGAAAAAGCTAAAACGAACGTTTTTAAATCGTTCAAAAAATTTTGATCGTTTATGAACATTCTATAAATTGTTCGTTCGAATATTCATTCAAGAAACGATCATTTTTTCATGAACTAACGATTTTTCCGAACAAATCTTTAAAAAAACAATAGTTTTTTTACTAAAAGAAATATTTTATTGAACAAACAATAGTGCTATAATGTTATATTCTATTATGAAGTACATAAATGATTTAAATTTTAAATATGTACAAGCGGATTAATTTACTTTTCTCATTCTTGTGAAAAGCTACAGTGGTAGGCAATACTATCAATACAATGAGGACGACTTATTTATTTAAGTTTTGATTGTTAACAAGCTTTTTTCGAAATACAAGTTTACAAGTAATCAAAGAGAAACTTTTTTAAATGATAGCTTCTCTTGACTTTAATGTTTATTGGTATCCATGCTAAATCAAAATTGAAATCAAAAGTCGTCTTCATTGTATTGATAAAATTGCCTACCACTGTATATTAGCTACAAAGTCACAAAGTCGTATTAGTAATGTCTCATAAACTTGACTGTCTCCAACTGTCTAATTCAAAGTGCATAGACATTTTATAAATTTTAGACCTTGAATATTTTAATTATGAACTCTGTTAGATCAAATTATAAGAGTTTGAAATATTGAATATTTATACTATGTGAGCAGGTTGCAAAGAGAAAAGAAGATTAGAAAGACTTAATTTCATTTCTTTGTATCTTGACGGTTGAAGGTTCTCAACATTTAGATTAAGATAAAAATTTTGTCAAAAATATTAGTGTTACAAAAGATTATTAAATCTTTTAAAAATGTGGTTAATAATGAGCACTTGGAAAAATATTTTTAATAAAAAAAATGTTTTTTAAAAATAATTTTTTCTTTCAAGTTTAAATTTTGCATATTATGGAAATAGCAATCTATTAAATTTTAAAATTCCTAAAAAATCTTTTAATAAAGTATCACACTTTTGGCTTAAATAATCTTAAAATGTTTTTTTTTAACAAAACAAAATCTTTCCAAAAATAAAAATCTGATATGAAAGATCTATTTAGTTTTGGTTTTTGGAATGAAAAGTCATGCTGAATTTTTATCAAAATATCCCTCCCCCAACTCCTCCTCCCCCCCACCTCCTCATGTTATTTTCTATTTTCTATATAAAAGGTTGCCAGATTGTAAAGCAGTGTTGAAACCCTGTTGCCATTTTCAACTTTTATGCCCTCATCAGTCTTTTTCCATCTTTTACAAACAGGGTTTCAACTTTTCCGTACACAAACGAAATTCCAATGACAGATTTTGCTATTTTGAGGCATTTTTTTAAAGTAAACATTTCCGAATTTAGATAGTTACGGTAAAATATGCAACCCTATCCCGAGCCCTTTTCAGAATTTATACCAGGAATCCATCACGTTGGAACACACGTTTTTTTTAACTTCAAAAGAATCTTGAAATGTCATATTTCAATTCGTATTCTCAATAACTTTGCTTTTACAACATTTTAAAGTTGTTAAACTCTTAACTCAAGATTTCATGAAATGATTTCACCAATTTTTTTAACAAAGAAAATTAATTAATCATTAAAAATGTTTTAGTCAATTAAATTCTGTTTTGCCAAAATAAAAAAGTTTAAATAATTTATAATTTGTGATTTTCAGGAGAACAGTGCAGAGGAGGAAAATGAAGATTTATCAACTTTTGAACTACCTGAACTACCTGAACTACCTGAGCAGGTTGAGCCCAGCACTGAGGTAGCTGGTGGGGTACTTCAGGTACTTTTATAAAACCAATTAAAGGTACGGTAAACGTCATTTTAAGTGACTCCATTTATTGAGTGGCATCTACGATTTACAACAGCACCCTTAAAAAATTAAAGTGGATTATTTTCTTAGGTGGGTTTTCAGCTTCAGAAAACATAGCAAAAACATCCTCTTCAAAGGTTTATAATAAACCGTTGTGTATTGGGCATTTTTCAATTTTATTGAAATTTTACTTGAATTACAAGTACAGAAGTACAGAAAACAAAATTTATCTTTAAGTCGCTATATTTTAAACGAGTTTCAGGTTGTCATGAAAGTCTAATGTTTTTTGGATAACCCTGTATATTACTGAACTGCAACTTTAAAGGTTTTTTGGGAAAATTGCATGTTTGATAACTTTTTATCTCCATTAATGAAATACACAAGTTATTTTAGTAAGCATTCCTTTTAAAAATTATTTTATTATAGCCAACAGTCTCTTTCATCAGAATCTCTCCTTTTCATTTTTTAAAACTAGTTTGATCTGAGGTGTTTGATAAATTATCTAAAACATAATATATCCTAGCTCCATTGCACACACTGGATTACGAAAGGATATTGCCCAGAGAGAAAGGTAGAAATCTTAAAAAGAAGTCAAGCCAAGACATTTAAAGCAATGAAGATATTTTTGATTTTTTTCTCATGATGCTTATACTAAAAGGCTCAAACTGCTTCATTTTTTCAACTTCATAGTTTTGAAAAAAGGAAATTAAATTACTTTATCTATCAGAATTCATAGTTTGAAATATCTAAGGTTTACGACATATGGTTGCAAAGATAAACGAATTAGAAAATCATAGTTTGTGGCAAAATTCCTTTGCAATTATTTTAATGCATTGGGTAGGGTGGAGTGCATGGAGGGCGGTCAAACGGCTGGTTGGTGTTCCAAAAAAACCTAAAATAGTAAATAGTAAATAATTTTTATTTTTATTTTTGTCAACATAAAAAATAAACATTTTTCCGACGTACTTTTTGAACTTTTTTAAAACCCTCCCTAGCACCCCAACCATTAAAGTTATTGTTGTAGTAGTGAGCAGGCCTTAAAAAGTAAATAGTAAATAATTTTTATTTTTATTTTTGTCAACATAAAAAATAAACATTTTTCCGACGTACTTTTTGAACTTTTTTAAGACCCTCCCAAGCACCCCAACCATTAAAGTTATTGTTGTAGTAGTGAGCAGGCCTTAAAAAGTTTGACCATGGACATGTATTGCACACTCCCGTATCTCAACTCTGATGGAAAAATCATAACCAATCTTTAGAAGACAAAAATAGCTTTGGAACCAAGATCTTGCCTGGAGACAAAATTTTCGATTTAAAAGTCAACTCAACTTAGAATTTTAAAACAAGTTAAACAAATTAGTTATATAACCGAGGTACTATCGAGTTTCCCAATTAAAATTGAAGCAAATCGGTCAAGAGGTTCATGAGTTAAAATCAGACATCCAATCAAACAAAAAACAGACAAACGGAGATTACTTACACTCTTCATATTTTTGAATTATACTAATTCCAAAAACTTTAATTTCTATGTTTAACACAAAAAATACTATTTTAAATTTTGATAATTTTTAATATTTATAACAATATATATTATATTAAATAATGTACCTTTAGATATATCTAACTTAATATATTAATATATTTGGTTCTATTATATATATATTTTACAGTTTCTTGATCCATGTAATATGATAAAGTATCCAAGATATAATATATCTTTACACTATTCTCAGGATTACAGAGAAAACAACTCTTTAGAAAAATAGTTGACAAAAATATTTTGTCAAAAAAAGGTTAATAACGACGATCATTAATTTTTGCTTTATAGAGTTCAACTTTATACTGTTTTATTTATTTCTTAATGGGGAAAGGATGTGGGGAAAAATAAAAAAATCTTTTTTCTTAATTTTAGATGCAGTTGAAAAGAGTAGAAGAGCTAGCCAGGAAACTGAGTATTGGAGAACCTATTCAAATTCAAGATTTTAAGGTTTTAATGATGATAAAAAAATTCAAATTTAGATTTTTAAGGAAAAAAATTTAGATTTTTGAAGAAAAAAGATTTGGATTTTTGAAGAAAAATAAATTAGTTTTTTTAAAAAAGGGGTTGATTTTTTTAGCCTTTTTTACATCTAGATTACTCAAGGGTTATCTCAAAAAAATTCATATTTAACAATACAGTGTCGGTGACTGTAATGGTAAAATAATAAAGTTTCAGCACCATTGGTATACACACACTGACCACTCTTTCTTATAAAGCATTTCTGCACTGGATACTGTATAGAAATACAATATATCATCCTCTATATTATATCACCATTTCAATAAACGATTTTGTATAGATATACAGCTTAACCTATAACTTTGGATACATCGAAAGAATTTATCAAATGTTGTCTTAACATTTTTTCATTGGGCTTAACACTATCCTACCTAAATCGCAGTAATTGTAAACATATATAAATCACCATGCACTATGAGGAAATTACTCAATTAAAAAACTAAGTATCTGCCGCATTCCATTTTCAGTAGGTTTAAAAAACGATGTTTTTAAAATTCTTTCTGTATACTGTATATACAAACTATGCAGTATGTACGTACAGTTGAATGAAGACGACTTTCTATATTAATTTTGATATATATAAATCTGTTAAACAGCATGGATACACATAAACATTGAAGTCAAGAGAACCTTTCAATTAAAAACGCTTCAGTTTGATTAGCTTTAATCTTATAATTAAAAAAAAACTTGCTAGCTAACAAATCTTAGACAACAAACTCGTCGGTATTATATTGATATGATTCGCCACCATTGTACTATAAAAGTATTTTTCAGGTTGGAGTTGCTAATAGCCCTCCTCATTTTACAGGGAAAACTGGAACTATTTCATTTCCCCGACCCTTCCTACAAAACCACCAAAGAAGACGACAGAAGAAAGTAAAAGTTCCAATCTCGGGGTTTAACTCGGAAATAGAAGAGACTCCAACAACAATAACATCATCACCAACAATATCAACAACAGCACCACCACCACCACCAACAACAACAACAACATCATCAACACCAACATCAACAACAGCACCACCACCACCACCACCAACAACAACATCATCAACAACAACTACAACAACAACAACTTCACCAACAGCAATGATTGATCAAACAACTGATCCAGTTATGAATGTAATGTTATCCATCCTTGATGAGTTTTCATCAGAATCAGTTTCAACAACATCTGAAACTTTAACAACAACAACAACATATGATCTAGACCAAGAAACATCAACCACAGCAGAAGTATTCAGAGAAGTTGAACCAATCTTAAGACCACAAAGATCCCAGGTTCAAAATAATCTCCAATCGTTAAGGGAACGTCTAAACAATTTAAAAAAGAGTGCCGGGGTTCAGGATCTCTTTAGCACCCAGACTGCCCAGAAAACCAGCAGTTTTAAGGACAACCTAGATAACAAGATTCAGATTGTATATTCGAACCAAACATTTGACCAGCCAGTCTTAGAGGTTAGTACAATTGTCTTTTATTTTAACTTCAGTAAACGTCCTTGATTTAAAACAATAGAATAATGAATTTTATAAACTAGTATNGGGTTGAATATACTGTAGATGTAATATCCTCCATATAAAGAACAATCTTGTTATTCTTTCTAAAAATTAAACTTTAAACAAAGACCTTTTGTAAAAATATCGTGCAGGTTTAAGCAGCAGAAACGTGTAAGGAAACGGTTAGAAATTGTATAACTTCGAGATAAAGATCAATTTATCTCTTATTATTACTCTTTTAAAGTGTAAATGGTACCAGGTTGAATAAAACATGTAACTTTTGAATTAGGGTCACACTAAATTTTGAAGACATTCCCCGTAATAAGCAACTTTTCCCTTACCTCTTAATTACGTAATTCATAACAGTTTTCTAAAATCTAAAATATTCAGGGTATTGTCGGAAAACATGATACCAACATTTCGCCCAGGGAGGGCAGGCAGATTTAAACAGAAAACAAGAAAATCTAGGAAACTTTCAAATATCAAAATAAATTTTTTTTTTAAAAGTTAGAATAATTATGATTTTAATGAAAATTTTGTTTGTAAAATAATATTTGATACGTTCAATAGGAAGCATTCTCCAAAACGATTCTTTCAACGTGAGAACGCTGTAGAAATGTTGAATTCTGGATCCAAGCCTATCCACGCTCCGGAATCATCTATAACTGAACAGCATAATTCTGAAGCCATGGACTTTAAATCACAAAAAGCTGAATTCATGAACATTGAACCAACCGATCCAGATTCCTTGAAACATGAACAAGAAATCCTCAATTCTATTAAATCTTTGAACACTGAACAAAATAAATCTGTGCTTCTGAATTTTGAACAAATTGGGAACACTGAACAAGTATTACCGGAAGCTTTGAACATAGAACAGAGTGAACCTAACACAGTAAATTCTGATTTAAGCAAATCTAAAAACTTGAACTCTAAATCCATTAAAAATGAAAAACAAGCTTTTACTACTGAAATAATCAACCACTCAAACACTGAAAAAATACTATCTGCCGTTAAAGAGGATAAATATGTCACTGATTACCCTGAGATTAAAGACAATGAGTTTGTACCTGGAAATGATGGTTATGAGGCTGAAAAAGATGAACCTGCGACTGGAAATGATGATCATGAGACTACAAAAGATAAGTTACTCACCGGAACTAATGATTACAAAGCTGAAAAGGGTGAAGAAGATTATGCAAATGATGCCCAAGACTCTGAAAAAGATGCCCAAGAGTCTGAAAATGATGCCCATGTGTCTGAAAATGATGTCCAAGAGGTTGATAACTATGAGTATGATGCTGAATATGAAGATGAGTATACTGAAGATGATTATAAAGAGGAGGACAATGTTGAAGAAGAGCCTCTGAGTAAGGAACTGGAAATGCTGGAACAGCTGAAAAAGAAAAAAACCGAACTTGAAAGGTTAACATAACATTTATACAGTAATAAGTTAACCCTATTCAGTAATCATTACCATAATTAACTTCACACACAAGCACCTATTCATTAACATAATTAACTATGCTTAAGACTCTATGTGGATACAGAGCAACCTCTAGTTGATACAGAGCAACCAATAGTGGAAACAGATCAACCATTAGTGGATACAGAGCAACCATTTGTGGATATGGAGCAACCTATTGTGGATACAGAGCAACCTCTAGTTGATACAGAGCAACCATTACTGGATACAGAGCAACCTATAGTTGATACACAGCAACCAATAGTTGATACAGAGCAACCATTAGTGGATATGGAGCAATCTATTGTGGATACAGAGCAACCTATAGTTGATACAGAGCAACCAATAGTGGATACAGATCAACCATTAGTGGATACAGAGCAACCATTAGTAAATATGGAGCAATCTATTGTGGATACAGAGCAACCTCTAGTTGATACAGAGCAACCATTAGTGTATACAGAGCAACTATTAGTGGATACAGATCAACCAATAGTGGATACAGAGCAACCAATAGTGGATACGGAGCAACTAATAGTGGATACAGAACAACCAATATTGTATACAGAGCAACCTTTAGGGGCTACAAAGCAACCTACAATGTATACAGAGGACACTGTAGTTGATACAGAGCACCCCAGAGTTGATACATTACAACAACTTGTAGCCACAGAACAACCTTTAGTGGATACAGAAGAACAAAAAAAAGATACTAAGGAACTTATTGTGCCTGCAGAGCAACCTATTTCAGAACCTGAACAACTTTCTTCTGATGTTGATCATTCTCCTCTTACAACAAAACAACCTTTGTTAAAAGCAGATGAGTTCTCTGAATTGAATGAAGCTCCTGAATTTGATAATTCAGTTTCAGAGCTTAATAAGAGACCTGTAACCAATGATGTCGAATCTAAAATCATTAATGAGCCTGAAATGAATGAAAAACCGGAAATGAATAATATATCTGAAATGAACGATAAACCTGAAATGAATGATGAACCTGAAGTGGACAATGAATCTGAAATGATTGATAAACATGAAACGAATGATAAACCTGAATTGAACGATGAACATGAAACAAATGATGAACGTGAAATGGATGAATCTGAGTTGGAAGGATCTGAGACTAAAATGAATTTCCAAATGATAGTTAAGCTTGAAGAAGAAACTGACCCTGTCCAAACATTAAAAAGTGGAATCCTGAATATTGAAGAAAAAAAGCAGCCATTAAAAATTATTGAAAGCAAAGGTTAGTTTTTTGTGTCAGATTTGTATTTTTGAACATACTTAAGTAGGGTCCTAAAAAACCTCATTTTATTTAGCAGGTTCAATGTTACACATCCAAATTTTACTACGAACAAAAATTAATTACTTCAAGACTTTCTGAGAAAAATGTCTACGTCTGATAATGTTCATTTTCCAACACTAATCATGTTTATGACACCAGAAGTGACGTCAATGAAACCACGAAATGTATTTTAGAATTAAACAGCTTTATGATTAATCTATTTTACAAGATTATTAAGAGTATTTCTAACTTTTAGATACAAACAAGCCCAACACATACTTACAACTTACATCAGTCTTACAACAGTCTTACATCAGTTTTACGTCAGTCTTACATTAGTCTTACATCAGTTTCACGCCAGTCTTACATCAGTCTTACATCAGTTTCACGCCAGTCTTACATCAGTCTTACATCAGTTTCACGTCAGTCTTACATCAGTCTTATATCAGTTTCACGTCAGTCTTACATCAGATATAGCATTATTAATCACATTTTACAAAATTTTCATTGCTCGCCCCTGAACATTTGTTTTGATAGATAAAGGTAAAAATAAAAAATGAATATAAAAAAGCAGACCAACTCCCCTTTATATTTATCAATCTATGTATATATATATATATATGCTTTTTCCCTTGCAGCAATTATAATATTTATTTTAGATCTTTAATTAACTTTTCATTCATCTTCTTTCATGTTGTTTTAAATGTACTCTTCCTCTATTCATTTCTTCTTTCATTCATTAGTTTTCAAATCTTTAATTGATTAAGTTGATTTTTATTTAGTACAACGTATGAAATAACTTTTTATATTTAAAAAACATATTTTTTTAGATCGATCAAAAGATTCTGTGTCCCATGCTCATTGGACTATTTAAAGGCATTATTTAAGCTAAAAGTCGTCTTCATTTTCCAAAGTTTTATGGGTATCACTGTACTTTCGAGAAAAAATTGTGAATTTTTTTAGAAATTTTGCAGTTTTGTTTCGAAAAAATTTTGCATTTTTTTCTGCGAAATTGTCGCATTTTTTTTTCTTTACCGAACCCTATAAGCACGGTGCACCCCACACTTAACTAAAAATCATTTTCAAATCTTAAAAGCGTCACTGCATTCCCATGTTAAAGAAACACCCTGTATCCTCCATTTTTCAGGATTTTTCGGTCGGAGCCGAGTACAAAAATATGGATCCCCCTGGAGTAAGTTCACTGAAAAACGTTCGAAACCTGGTGACAAAAAACCTTCCTTTCATCTGAGCAGACTTTTTAGAAAGGTTTGTGTATTCCATTTAAATTCTAAAGGAGTTAAATTTCTAATCCATATATCCTTCCAACCCGATTTCTTAGACATTTCATTTTTCAAACTATATATTTTGGTAGGTAAGTAGTAAAAGTATTGAAATATCAAAGATTCATACAATTAGGTTGTGAAGATTTAAGAATTAGAGAATTTATGTTAGTGGCAAGAACTTAATTCCTTTTCCCTGGCATTTAATTTGCTAAAGGAATTGATTTGTTTCAATCGACTCAAATTTACTAATCCCTATTTAATCTAACTAAATTCCTAGTTTGAAATACCTAAGGTTTATAACACCGGGTTGCAAAGATATTGATAATAGAGATTATAGAGTTTGTGGCAAAGACTTAAAATTCCATTCTTAATTTTCAGGTTGCACCCTCAAAGAATTTAAAAGAAGCCCAAACTGAGACCAAACAAGAGAAAGCTAGTGAACCCAAACTAGTGGAAACTCCTGAAAAAAAAGAGCTTGTTACTGAAATCAAACCAACTCGAAAAGATATTTTCAAGCGACGGCGTCCATCGTTGCTAATGAAACCAATTCCTACAGAAGCCAAAGAACTGAAAAACACACCAATTTTTACCAAAAACATAATCAAATCTGCGCAAACCAAAGAATCAACCGAAAGTTCTAAAGATGAACGATCAAATAATTTTCTAATTCAATTGTTTAGAAAAAGAAGCCGATCAGTTTTAAACTAGGGTCTTATAAATCCGTTGACATAAATATAAAACATCTGCGAAATACTGGATAACTTACTCTTACTGGTTTGCATGTAGAGGATAATGTAACGTTTGCATTGCCAATCATCAGATTTATCATCATACAAAGTAATTTGCTGTATGATTTCACTATCAATGTATCAGAAAAATTACTTTAGTCTGTTTTGTACTATTTTTTGTTTAAACTTTAGTGTTCCTGTTAATTATTTTAAATTAATTAAAATTTTTTTTCTGCTTTTAATTTTAATAAAAATTTCAGAATATTTTTTTCTCTTGTGAAATAGGTTTAAATTTATAATCGTCTTTAGTTAAACCAAAACTCAGGGCATTTATTGATGACTTGTGGGCATTTTTGTTTGAAGTTTTTGGTTAATTTGATATGATTGAGATGATGTATCATAAAAAATATTTCTCAAAATCTCAAGAAAGTAATTTTATTGGGACACCTTTAAAACAAATATTTTACCTTTATTTACCAATGTATAAATCAATACCTTGGTTACTTTTCATGCTTTTTTTTATTTAAAGGATTTGAGTTTTCAGAATATTTCAGAATCCATAGTTTAGTTTGAAATTTATAAGATCAGCGACATATCCTTTATATAAATTAGTTTAAACAATCTTTGAACATTTAGAGTGTAAAGATTTTTGGTTAAAATATTCTTATTATTTATTTTTATTTTTGTGTTTTTATTTGTTCATTATTTTTAGCTTGTAAATATATATTCTGTATTTTTTAGATAGTTTTAATTCAATTAACTGTGTTTATTAAACAAACTTGATTTTTAACAAAATTTATAGGATTAATTCCGATTTACTGTCCAATTCAAGAGTAGCATATCTGATTCACAATTGTGCGCATAAAGGGGGGGGGGGGTCTGAAAACGTTTCCATCCCCAATGTAGGAGTTTTGAACGTCGAATTTGCGCTCAAACTCAGGATTTACAGATCTTTAAAAAGTTTATTATGTCTCAAAGGAATCTGAAAGAAGTTTTCCACAACACCCAGTTCAACTACCTTACATAGCCGGTCACTCCCTTTAAAAGTGTCGCAGCGCCTTGGTGTTGACATTATTATCTTCCTAGCTCCATACTTTTTCAGTTGGTACCTTTAGAACTCAATATATTTATAGTGTTGAAGAAGTTATTGGCAAAATTCTCATAGATTTCTATGAGACAGCTTGAAACTTTTAGATAATTACGATTCGTAAAAAATAGCCGACCCTTATTATTGTTGCCTTTAATTTGTCAAAAGCAGATTCTTTGGCTGGCTCCGGAAAGGACTTATTTTTAGATATATATGCCAAAGGAATTAACTTAATCCGGACAATTCCGACTTCAAAGGATTTGAGTCTTTGCCACAAACTCAAATTTTGTCATCCCTTTAACTTTACAACCTGATTGTGTAAACTTTAGATATTTCTAGATATTTTATCTAACAGAATTCATAGTTTGAAATATCTGGGGTCTACGCCATTATTTGCTAAGATATAGGAATTTGAAAACAGAGTTTATGACAAAGCCTTATTTCCTAAATTCCTTTATCATAATTTGGGTTTTTATTCTAATATAATGAACGATACATTTACCCTAGAAAATATATTAACCATCCCTCTACCTTATTCTATTTATTACCAATGTAAAAGCTTTTATTGGCTAGTAACAGATTGCAAATATAAATATTAAGAGAAAGCAATGTGTAAAATCTGATATACTGGGAGAATCAGATCATAATAAAGATCATCTGGGAGAAACAGATCATAATGAAGATCATCTGGGAAACCCAGATCATAATAAAGATCATCTGGGAGAATCAGATCATAATAAAGATCATCTGGGAGAACCATTTCACAATGAAGATCATCTGGGAGAACCAGTTCACAAGAAAAATCATCTGGGATAACCAGTTCACAATGAAGATCATCTGGGAGAACCAAATCATAATGAAGATCATCTGGGAGAATCAGAACATAATAAAGATCATCTGGGAGAACCAGTTCACAATGAAGATCATAAGATTCAAAGGAACTAATTACTCGACTCTATAGTCTCTGTATCTTTAATACATATAAATTTGTAACCTAATGTTGGTGGCATTATTTAGAATATCAATGGTTTGCTCCATCATGTTAAAAAGGTTTAAATGTTAAACCCTATCACAGCTGGGCTATTTTGGCTAAATATTGGTTGGTAGGGGTGTTGGTGGTGGGAGATCAAGGTCAATCCTTTTTGAAAAAGTTTAGACACCTAACTAAAAAAGTTAAAATGTTGGGGATACAGAAATCAAGTATATCGGAAAAATATCTAAAACAATTGATATGTTTTTATCAACCCTATGCAGTGAGACCGGTAAAACTATAGAAAATTAAGACGATATTTAGCCCTATAAAGGCTAGGAGGTCTGAATCTATTTATACTGTATAGCCTAGAAAAAAAGCCCTAGAGTAAAGGTAAATGGGGTTGCAATGCAAGTTATAGCCAAAATGTTCAAGGCCAGCTCATTGAAAAAAAACCCCGCTAATTATAGTTATTTTTTAATAAATAGACTGGTGGGGTGGTGGCATTCTGTTTATAAAGCCAACTGTTTTATGCCAGTTGCTTAACAAGATATAAAGTAACACTTTACAGATGCTGTTTATTCATGTTCTTATGGACCAATTAAAATATAACTTGAGTCTACTTGTCATGTTCTAATTCCATAGTTTGAAGGTCCCAACTTTAATTTTTATTTTTTATTTTATTTTCATCTAAAAAGTTTGTAAGTTTTTTCCACAGGTTTTATGTTTGAATATGTATGCAGTTCAGTGCTTTTTAGAGCACGGTTTAAAGAAAACAGATATTGGAAAATTTGTGTTTGAAAATAAATTTTAACAAAATGCACAAAGTACAGATATCCCAAAAGTTTGATTGTGTTCTTGTTATCCTAATTGTGTTCTTGTTATCCTAACTGTGTTCTTGTTATCCTAATTGTGTTCTTGTGTTATCCTAATTGTGTTCTTGTGTTATCCTAATTGTGACCATAGTATTTCTAATAATGAACTCAAGTAAACGAACAGACAGAACAGTTCGTTAAAACATGGTTAACAAGTTTCTTTGTGTTTTGTCTCAGTAATTAAAAAAACGGAAGAAAAAAATTAAGGACTGAACAGTAAAAAATAAATAATAGTTCGTTAATTCTTAATTCAAAAGGTGATAGAAAGGGTTAATTTCATTAGTGAGTTTTAAGAAAATGAAAAAAAATTCCGTTAAAAAAATAAACTGTTAATTCATTAGTTTTTATACGGGATTAAAATTCTCATACATCTTGAAGACTATCTTGATATACCTGACAGAACATGAGAAATGTCAATGTCAAGAGCAAAATAAATTTCTATTCAAATAAAGGTTTTGATTAAATATTCAAAGTGCTGGTTTTCAATTTTAAATGGAAACCCATGAAATCCCGCACATAGTGTTCAAAGAACAGTGAATATTGGAATCCAACAAGAATTAGAATGAGAAATCCAACAAGAAGGAACAGGAAATCCAACAAGAATTAGAAAAGGAAATCCAACAAGAATTAAAATGGGAAATCAAACAAGAATTATAACAGGAAATACAACAAGAATTAAAACGGGAAATCCAACTGGAAGAAACTGGAAATCCAACTTGAAGGAACAGGAAATCCAACCAGAATCAGAACGGGAAATCCAACTATTAGGAACAGGAAATCCAACAAGAAGTAACAAAAAATCTAACAAGAATATACGGGAAATCCAGCATAGGAACAGGAAATCCAACAAGAACATACAGGAAATCCAGCATAGGAACAGGAAATCCAACAAGAAAATACAGGAAATCCAACAAGATGGAACAGGATCCAACAAGAATTATAATGGGAAATCCAACTAAAAGAAACAGAATTCGACAAGAAGAAATGGGAAATCCAACAAGAAGGAACGAGAAATCTGCAGCAAGAAGAAACAGGAAATATAACAAATAGAAACAGGAAATTGGAAGGAGCAGGAAATCCATCAGGAAATAATTAAGAAATGCCTGATTTTAAGAAAAAAAATTGTTTACCAAAAATTCCTAAATTTTATTATCCATAATTTATACAAAATCTCTTATCATTTGTTTACAATTGTTATTTACAATTGTTAATACGCACACTGAACTATTTGCGTAGTAATGTAAACATTGAATTTGTTTAAAAAAACTATTTTTTTTTCTTCCTGAAAAACATGTTGTTTTAGCTGAATATCAGATTTCCATCAGTTTTTTTAAATCTAATTTCTATCCTATATTCTCGGAATAAGGTGTCCTACAGTGAATCCCAGATATATTAATATATTGACCGTCATAAGTTTTTTGATAATTGTAAAGAAACTTCTTTTTATCTTTAATTCAAGGTAAATTAATAGCCCTGAAATATGAATGCAATTGATATATTAATATTATACTCATTTTTCCGCGGCATTTGATCTTAAATATGTAAAACTCTTGCTATGTATTCATATATCTGGGATTCACTGTATAATAATATTTATATATATAAAATATAATGAGAATAACACTGTGGACTGGGGTTAATTTGAATTCAAACCCGACCGACCCCATGTACCGGCTTTAATGACGAGCGGCATGTACCAGCCCGACCCTTCCTACGCGGGCTCGGTTTCAACTTTGATGGTGAGGCCTGACTTTTAACTGTACCCGGCCTATCATAGGAATCATAGGGAATTTGACCTTCCCCACTTACTTAGTTTAGTGTTTAATATAAACAACCTAGTACATACATAAATAAATTTGACTTTTTCGTCTCTGTCTGTGTCCAATAAACGTAGAAACGGCTGAACCGATCTACGCCAAATATTTTGCGAAATGACCTTAGAGATGGTTTATGAATGAATGGTTAAAAATAAAAATGATATCCGAAAAAAATGTCAATATTTATTTATTTAGAAATGCGCAAATTTAAACAGAAACATCTGCAAAAACGATTTACAATACATTTGTAACTTGAACAGCTTACGCTAAAATATTACTAGCAAAGGGGTGTGAAGCCCCCTGAGAGCACAGTTATTTCATGATTACGTGCATATTTCCTTTATCAGAATCCAAGAAAATTTGAAAAGTTTAAGATTTTAAAAAAAATTGTAATTTTCTAAACGTTAGTTTTTATCAGTAAAAAAATGTTAACTTTGACGAAGACATTGGTTTAAACGTTTTTATTATCAAGTTCTTTAAAAGTGTTGTTTCGTTCAGGTTTATATCTTTATCAGAGTCAACAATTTCACAGTTCCTTAAAGTCTAAAGTAATGATTTGAATTTGATAGACTTTAGTTGGACTATTGTAAAGCCATTCGAAAGCCCAAAATAATGGTTAATTGGGATCAAAGAGAACTCAGATCTATTGTGTTAATAATCTTGGGATAAAGTATGGATCTTAATCTAATGCACCCCTACGACTAATAATATGAAATTATTATATAATTCCTCTTCAATATTCCTGGGTGGTCAGAACCTAAATGGATAAATTTCTTTTAAAGATTAAGCATTTATCTTCAAATTAAAAAATGCCCAGATTGGATTTTGAGATAAACCGTTTAATATTAACAATACTCCACACAAAACAGTTCCAACCGCAATACTGACCAGGACTGTTATAGAAATGGGCATCGTCTTTGTGAACGAACACAATTTTTGAGAACACACATCATTTTTCGCTAACGATGGTGTCGTTCAATAAATAGTAACAATAGATGAACGATTTGGATTGTTCAAATGATCTCAAAAGGCGATATTTTTTTTACTAAGCAATCAAATATTCTGAAACTTAAAACACTTAGATTTGTTTACTGAAAAAAGATTTTTTAAACAAACTTTTGAAGAAAAAGATCAATTTTTAATAAAAGAACATTTTTATTGAACAAAAGATTTTACTAAACGAACGGTTTTACTGAAAGATTGTTCAGTGAGAAAACGAACAAAATAGATGGAAAATGACTGAAAGAGAACAAACAATTTTAAACGATAGAAAAAAAGAACGAAATAGGATTGTTTACGAGCGATGAACAAAAAAGAATGAAAAAAAGCTGCATTCGAACATCTCTAACCCGTAGGAAATCCTTGAGTATTGTGTTTATTGAGTTTGGTAAAGTTTATTTATAAGTTTGAAAACAACCCGCTTTGATGAATTCAGCTTTGAAGTTTATAAACTAAGTTAACTGGGGATACTTCTAGTGCTGGCCCCAGATATTACATTGATCCAGATTGCTATAAAAAAAACTCGCTTATTTGTTTTATTGTAATCCTAGAAATGTACATTTTTGGTAATATAAAGAACGTAGCTTTAGCTGTAGTTTATAAAAAGTTGTTTCGTAGAGTTGCATGTTTGATTCACAACGGTTACCTTAAAGAATTAAAGGGAGTATTCGTGAAAATTGAAAGATGGTATAGGCTTATGATGAAAAATAATCGCTTTTAATCGCTACTAATCTTACTTCTATCTCTTGCGTCTATAAGAAAAAAATTGTTAAAAATGACTCGTGCGAAAAAACGTAGCGTCAATAAAAATTCAGAAAGTTGCAACATTCGACTCGGATCGTAAAATAATCAATTTAGTTCCAAACAAATCATTCAGATATTACAAACAATAGGCAATGATCTTTTTTCGACGCATTCGTATATAGTTAATATTTCATAATATTTTTGATTTTGTGTTTTAAATAATATTTCGCTGGCGCTGGATTTTCGAACATTCCTGTAAAATTTGAAAATGTCGTCTTCATTATAAAAAATCCTCGAAACAGGAATAAAAGTTTTCAATAAAAAGATTATAAAGAATAAACATGATTATGAAATATCAACTAGATTCGATCTTAAACCTACATTTGACTAGTGATTATAAAGTTGTCTAAAGAAAAACAAAAATAAAAAGTTGCAATATTTATTTATTTCCAAAAATCATTTTCATTATCCAGGGTTCAGATTAAACTACATATTGCGTTTCCTCTCCTTCAGTTCTTCTAGGTAGCATAGATCCAGACCTAGATAAGCCAGGACATCACAGATGCAGTTTCCACAGTTGGAAGCTCCAAGTATATCCTGGATACACCCAACGATATCAAAGGTTAGTCCGCAGTCAAACAGGGCCCCGGAAATTTCTCCAACACAGCCGAGAATCTCATCATTGGTACAGTAGGGAACTGGATGGTCCTTAGTGCTCAACTTTCTAAACAAAAAGAATATTTTTTTTACAAGAAAAAATAAAACACACAATTAAAAAAATCTGTTTTTGACAAAATAATTTTAAATTTTTAACAGTTTCCGTTCGTTGAAGAAAGCTGAACATCTTTTCTAAAAGCTAATTCTCGATAAAAAATATTTTTGAAAAATTTTGGAGAGGGGGGGGGGAAATAAAAAATTTACATAAGAATTTAGTTCTGGCCACAAACTCTGATTTTCTAATCTTTGCAGCTCAATGTCGTAGACTTTTGAAATTTTAAACTATATGAATTCTGTTAGATTAGATCAAATAAGCTATGGTTGCAATATCAAATGTGTAAACCATCAAAAATATATAGGAGTTAGAAAATTTGAGCTACAGCTTGGATCCTTTCCCTGTTTAAAAAAACGATTCCTTGTTTTTTTTATTAACAATTTTTTCGTTCAGTAATGAATACAAAATTTATGTTTGTGTTCTTTTTCCAAATGTCTACAAAACTTACTTGAACTTGGCAGCTTCAGAAAGGGCAACACAGGCCACAAGCAGAAGAACAGTGAGTTTTCCAAACATGTTTAGGATTGATAATGATACATGATAAACTCATTGCTTTTATACAACATTTTCTTATCTTTAGAAGACAGCATTGAAACTAAAACAAACAATAAATGTATAAAATGCACAATAAAAATTATGCTGATCAAAACAAACAACTTTAATATTCTTTTGGTTCCGTCATTTAAACAACAAGCAGATGTTTATAAAACAAAGTGGCCATTTTTTATTAATGATTCGTTAAAGATACCAGGATACCTTTGTTACCAATTCAAGTATCCATCTGATGGGACCTACCATTGTATAGTACCAATTCAAGTATCCTATTGTATAGTACCAATTAAAGTTTTCATCTGATGGGACCAACCATTGTATAGTATCAATTCAAGTATCCATCTGATGGGACCTACCATTGTATAGTACCAATTCAAGTATCCTTCTGATGGGACCAACCATTGTATAGTACCAATTCAAGTATCCATCTGATTGGACCTACCATTGTATAGTACCAATTCAAGTATCCATCTGATGGGACCTCCTATTGTATAGTACCAATTCAAGTATCCATCTGATGGGACCAACTATTGTATAGTACCAATTAAAGTTTTCATCTGATGGGACCAACCATTGTATAGTATCAATTCAAGTATCCATCTGATGGGACCAACCATTGTATAGTACCAATTCAAGTATCTATCTGATGGGACCTACCATTGTATAGTACCAATTCAAGTATCTATCTGATGTGACCTACCATTGTATAGTACCAATTCAAGTATCCATCTGATGGGACCAACCAGTATGATACCAATAAAACAGTGGCACGGTATGCAAAAATCTTTTTGAATCAATTCTTAAAAAGCAAAATTAAAGGACTAGAAGGTGCTCTCTCTTCTTTGGCTCTTAATCTTTCCAGGAAGTGGGATGTCCCTCCTATTTTCCCCACCATAAGCCGCCTCTGATCTAGTCTGATCTGTGGCCGAATTTAAAGAATTTGAGCGGCGGTTTAAATTTAAGCCGCGGCCTAGATATGGTTGGTTCCACTTAAAATTGTATCAAATGTTTCAAGATTTAACCGGCGCTAAATTTAAACCGGAATTTGGCAGATTTAAACTGCAGCTCAAATTCTTTAAATTCTGGTCTGATTATTATTTGCTCAAAAAATGTTTTCCTAAAAGAATCCTACAGGTTACAAGGGTGTATCATATGTTAAAAGGATGTATTGTAGGTTAAAAACTTACCGCTACTGTCTTAACCCTATCCCAATTGCACTATTTTTGTCCAATATAACCCCCTTCTCCCTCCCTTATGTTATTGACCTAATTGGAGACCAAAAAAAATATTTTTGTATCGAATATTTTGCCAGCAAAGGAACTGAGTTTTAGCCACAAGTCCTGATTTTCAAATCGCTATATCTGATTGTGTTAACCTTTTGATATTTCAAACTATCATTATTTGATCTAAAATAATTCATAGTTTGAAATATCTAAGGTCTACGACATTGAAATGCAAAGATATAGGGATAAGAAAATCTGAGTTTGTGACAAAAACTCAATTCCTTTAATAAACATTAAAAAATAAAAATTTGGACAGTTTTAAGTGGTTTAAAATGCATTTTTTTATACTGATATCAAATCTTTGATACAAATATCGAGATATTTTGTAGATTTTTTTTGGTCCTACTTGTGATACTGTTTTTTTCTTTTTTTCATTTAAATGGCTTTCACCTATACAGGGCTCTATATTTATAGTTTGACACACCTTATTACATTTGAGGGGAAAGGGGGGGGGAATTCACAGAAAAAATAAAAATGTTTAAATGTTAAACTCTAAATTTTTTAAGTGCTGGACTACAGATGATGAAGATAGCTATTATTAAAATACGGAAATAAAAAAGTGTAAATTATGTATATATGTAGAAATGACTTACATGAATATTAAGGACACCTAATATTTAGAATATCAAAAAATCATATTTTTGAATAATAGAATTTAATGAACAAAACTCAAGTTTATTAATAACTTGTTATTTACGTTATTTTTGTTTAAATTAGTTCAAACAAGGTTTTGTTTAATATTTGTCTTTATCTTAAAAAAAGTATATATACTGAGTCGTAAAAAATCTTCTTATCTGAATGTAATATTTACCTTCCTTTAATGAGTTTTGTAAATTTCACTCCAGAATGAAATGTTTCGAAAAAAATTTTATGAAACTATTGTTTACTTTATTATTCTTACTCACTTTATCGTGAATTTCATAATGAATGTGCTATAAAGTAATCATTGTGCTAAAAAGTTAAATTAGCTGTACATTATAACAATAGCACGTGTGCTATAAAGTTTTGATTGGTTCCCGGATTTTCTCCAAAAAGATTAGGATTTTTCCAAAATAATTTTTTTTTAATTGAAATGAAAATAAAATTGAAATCAACTTTATTTTTTTTTACTTCTGTTTAGTTCAAAAGTTTATTTGATCTTTATAAAATTTTTGTTCAAAAACTTTAAGGGAAACAGGACGAATTTCGGAAAAGATTATAAACTCCGGAAAAAAATTCCCGAAAAGAGAAAGAACTCCGAAAAAAAGATAGATTTCAGAACCCTCCCAGAAATCCTCTGTTTGTGAATCTAATCTCCTGCAAATTATTTAAATGTTTGCTTGCCGTGGTCTCTAATTGCTGAATTAAATTTGCATTACTGCAAACTTATTCAATTGAAACTTAACTATCCAAACTTAGATGGTTTACAGGTACTAGGACAGAATTAACATACAGTGAACTCCATAAAACCGTCAAATAGGAAGACGACTGTTGACTGATTCAAATAGTTCAATGAACATAGCATGATTTATGACTAGGGATGTTAATGTTTTCATTTTTCAGATCGTTTTGTTATGATAACGACGACGAAAAATCGAAAACGAAACGATCGTTTTTAAAAACGATCGTTTTTAAAAAATTCANAACTTTGTAACCGATCCCGGCCCCTGTCCTTTTTCAAAACAACACTTCTTTTCTTAAATAGTTTTTATACATTTTGAAAAGATTTATCTGTTTCAAATCGATTTTGGAAACAATCGCTTAGTTTTTAAAAGGAAAAAGGACAACTAATTGTTTTTGTTTACAACGAAAAATTGATTCGTGAAATAAAATGAAACTAGAAATTGTTGCGAAAGAAACTAGTCATTTGCCACAAACTCTGATTTTATAATTCATATATCTTTGCAGCCTGATGGTGTAAACCTTTGATATTTCAAGCATAAACTATTTTATCTAAAACAATTTAAAGTTTGAAATATCTAAGGTCTACCAAATCAGAATAATCATTATAATTTCTTATAATTATCATTTTCTACTTTTTTAATCGCAATATACAGGCAGCCATAGTACATTTGAATTTCCGAGCCGGGTCAACCTTTCTGGTCCCAGTTTGTACTGTATTTAGCTCTTGGGCAGGACTAGCCGGTGCAACAAGGTTGACGCGGTCAGATTTTATGCTTCATATAGGTTCAATTTACTTTTAATAAAGGGCAGAGGTGCGTGAATAGACACCGTGATTTTTTAAACCTTAAACGATTAGTTCAAATTCAGATTTTGCAGTTTGTATTTCATTTTCATTTTCAATTTCACAAAGTAAAAATAGATCATGCAGAGAGATCATTAGATATCGAAAATGGTATTTTTAAAAGTATTTTTACTTATTTATCATAAAGGGTAATCTCTCAAAGATCATAAATGTGCCAAAAATTATGCAAAATGTGATGAACTACATATTCTGCTAGTACTAGGTCTCCGAAAACTATTTAAAATTGTAATGCAAAAATTGTGAAAAATTATTCTTTTGGTACTTAATGAAATAGAATTTGCAATTTTGAATAGACAAACTTCAAAGGTCTATCACCAAAAATTATTTGTTTCTAAGAATAATCTTTATGATAGTTGCATTCAAAGCATGATTCAGATGCTATTTTTGTCTCTTTAACCCTATCTCTGCTGGGGTACTTGAAAACCAGGATATGCTGGGGGGGGGGGAAATTGACCCCCCCTCTAAATACCATGTTT